GACCACTTTAATTCTATATGCTGCAATTCTCTTAGAGCCATTAATGAATTGTGCAAGGAAACAGAGAGAATAACCAGAATAAAGTAAAGTTCCATTACACAATTACAAGAGCTCCCTGCTGTGGTGAGGATGTGACTTAAACAATTCCAGCTGAATAATAACAACAATTTTGGCCGTCCTTGCAATACCACACTTCTTCATAGGACCTAGCCTCCAAGACTGGTATTATGTGAAATACCAGCTGAAAACACTAGTAAGACTCAGTCAGTGATGAACACAGCCCTCCATGTTGCTAAGGCTTGCAGCCACAAGAATTCATGAAGCCCATATCTCCTTCCTGTTACCTCCCAAATATCTATCAGCATTTCATAAATATCACACATGCATATGGACAAAATGAGCAAGAACATGCCTGTGTGCCAGCACATCACCGAGCTAACTGGCATTAATGGGGGCAAATGGAGCAGGACATCACATTCATGGCTCTCTCTTCTGAAACCAGGTTAAATGTTCTTACTTGTACACCAGTCAGGCAGAGCTCCCTTCCTGAGATCCAGTCACTTAGCCCACGTGGCAGGGTTAAGAAGAAGATACCAATGGTGTCTTCCAACCTTTTATCACTAAATATTAATCCAGTTAGCAGAATGTTAGTGAAAATCTATCCAACAGTGGGCTTTCCATATTGTCCAGCGCACTTCTACTGTAATTTTAACTATTGCTCACATTTGACGCATCTCACACAGAAAGTAACGGGACCGCATATTGTGTGGGAACAGCCACTGGTTAATATTAATTTTTCAAATAAAGCAGACTGCAAACCAGTAGCTAACAGATTTTGTAATACTAGAATTTATATTAAAAGAAGGGGGAAAAGAAACACAACAGATTTCTTACAGTCTGCGTTACAGTTTCCATTTTATTTTGATGTGCTAGACTCTACATCACTGGAAGCAGCTATTCTCTCTTTGCTATTTGTATGTTGCTGACACAACAGCCGCTAAACTTGCCAGGGTCTCTCAGCAGAACTCCATTAAGATACAAAAGAAGAATAGTTTGTACTTTTGTATCAAAGTTACATTAAAATTTAGCAATGAATGAGGTCTTTAACCAGGTGACTGCATACTCTTACCCCTTTTTTCGATCCTCCACCTAAGAATGACTTGAAGGTTTTTGATTCATTTGAGGAAGATGATGACAACAATGGAAATGTAACTGTTCAGAAACAAGAGCAGCAAGAATGCTCATACTAAAATATGAGGGTTTCAGTCTCCTCAGTGAAGTGGCGGACATCTTTCAGAGTGATCCACTCCGTAGAGCCAGACTCTGGAAAGCCACTCTCTCCTCCAGCTGATGATCTTGTCCCTGCCTTTCAATCATACATGCCATACATCCTCCCCCTGTGCTTTTGAATTTGTGTGTTTCTTAAATCTCCACAAGCAACCCTCGACACAATCCTTTTTACAGGAAAAAAGCTTTGCCATCCATCAAATCACTATCAATCACACCTCTCAGAAATTCATCTTTCACAGACAATGTGATATGGCTTTTGCAGATGGATTTTGCTGATAGACAGACAGTGTAACTTCTCTTAAATTCAGCAACAGATGCAGGAGTAGCAAAATTCAAAAATCCCTCTAGTTTCCTCTTCCATGCTCTAAACTGTACCAAACATGGTGTGAACATCTGATAATACTGTCCTGAAAGCTTAGGAGGAGAAGTAACTTTTGTAGGAAAGCATCCCAACGCAGTACTCACCTGGGAAAAAAGTGCAAAACAACATTAGATGTGTATTCTGGAAGATCTGGATGTAAAGGAGAAATCTGGGAAACACAAATGAGCTAAAAACGATTTCAGACCTTATTCCTGCAACTAGAACCGCATGGGAAAATTGGATCAGAGTCTCACTGACTCACAGGACCCATCCTGTACCAACACGTACCTCCTAGCAGAACAGTAGCAAAGCGATCTGCTGTTATTACTCCCCTTCTGTAACTGATGGATTCTTGCATTTAACCAAGCAATTTCCAACAAGTTTTTCAGTGTTTTGGAATAAGCCTCTCAAGTCCCTGTCTTCCGGTGAAATTAATGAAGACCTATTCCTGGGCTTCAGGATGCTTGCCATTATAAAAACTCAGTCTTTACGAAAACCAGCTCAAAAATTGCCTCTGGATTAGGACATCAAATACTGGCATATATAACCCAATTTTCTTAAGTACTGCCTAATTTAAATGACCAGTTTTGAGAGATGCGCATTTTAAAAATAAGGTAGCACGTATTAACATCAAACCTTGGTTCAAGTCTTGCATAATTTATACCGCAATACCCTCTTGTGGTCAAATAAAAATGATTTATCTAAACACCTGAACATTTTTCATCCATAAAAAGCATGTCTAAACATTATTTCCTTCGAGTGTGTTTGCAGGGGGGAGATTTGCATGTAATTTTTCACAGATGACTTTGTAGTTCACGTCATTACTTGTCTGGTAGTAACAAAAGAATAACCTCTGTTAAGTTCTTCCCCGAGAATGACAGGCACTGACACTGCTAGTCAGATAAACTAATCTTAAAACAAATTCCTAAGCAAAAGCATTGTCCCCTGCAGTGATGCTCAAAAAAAGTTTCAGGTTCCCAAAGAGAAAAAATAAAGATGCTATAATCAGTTTCCATAAACATATGGCATCACGTCACAATACACATCAACCTATTCTGATAAAAGATAGAAAGAAGCGCCCAGTAACAGTCATATCAATTCAAATGAGCTCTCTGCTTAAATGCCCCAAGTTATTATAACAAACAAATGAAATCCTAAACTGGCACGTGATAATATGAAGGGAAACAGCATAATATCTGCAGAAGTTCTGCTGAGCCATTAATCCTTCAGTCTAAATGGGCTACAGGTCCATCCAGTAAGGAATCTAGAGCAATGGTCAGAAACCTCACCCTTGCACTCCCCGTGGTGTGCTTTAACGGTGCATCACCACTCCCTTAAGGACTTCTGGTCCCAAAAGTAAATGGGATATTTTTTAAAATAGTAGCTCTTCACAGTCTGTTTCTGGAACAGCAGATATGATTTAAAGTCACATTATTATTAAATTTTTAAAAATTCTTTTATTTAAGCAGCCACGAACCCATTCCCATGTATTATTTCCAGAGGAACAGTTGAAACACTTTGAAGCATCCAGTCCTTGCACATAGACTCACAGTTTACATTTGTTTAAAGCTCAAAGTCCTAATTGGCAAAGATTCCCCTCTTTTCTCAGGTTGTTGGGTCCCAGTCCACAGACCCGCCTTCAACCTATGGAGCTGTCTTTCAGTAAGATGTTCCAGGAGGCAGTTTGTACCTCTACACCTGCATCAAAGACCGGAGAGATAAAACTCCTGCATCTGTGCAGATTCCCACTTACAGGAGTAGACTTTGAGCACCCAACTGTCACCTTTCCATACAGCTTACTCAATGGCTACAGGGAGTATTTGGAAGCTATGCACCCAGTTGGCCACCTAAAAACTACTTCTAGTTTATTATTATTTTTAATTTACAGGAATAGACTTGAAGGAAGGATTAGAATAAAAATAACAGAGAAACTTAGCAAATCAGAATTAAAAAGAAAAAAAAGTGTTCCATGCACAGGAACAGACTTTATACTGCTGTTTCAAGCAGCTGCATTAATGGTAGCTGGCAAATGCTGACTTCTAAACTGCAGCTGGTACATCAAATGTGTCCTGCTTCCTAACAGGATCCACTGCTGATTAGATCAGGAGTCTAAAATCCTACATGCATTGATTAATGCATTGCATTTCCCCAAAGTGCCTCAGCTTCCTTATAAAGCTGTTAGATGCTGATATAACCTATTGTGCAACCAGCCACACATGCTCCAGCTTGGAGAGGACCCTGCAACCAGTGCAGAAGGATAAGCAAATTCCACAGGATAATTAACTAGAGTTAGTTAATTATCAGGCCTGGTTGGCAAACAGCTCATTTCATCAGTCTATTACAGTGCTGTATGAATACATGAGTTTCTTTTTTGCTTTTTGGCTGAAGGGATGGGAAACATTGTTTAAGTTTCGATTATCTCTCAGAAAAACAAGTAAACAAACAAAAAGCCAACTGAAATTTCATTCAACCCAAAACCAAACATTTTGTTTTGATTTGGGATTTTTTTTTTTTACCCCTTAAGTCAGATGCATTTCTAATTTGCAAAGTCAAAATTATTTTTCAAAACAAAATATAGAAAAAAATTAATGTTCAAAAATGTATACATGAAATATCTTGATTATTGTATAGTTGTAATTATTTCATGAGAAATTATTTGCCAAATTCAGCATGCATGCATTTCTAAATACCCCAAACAAGTTTGCCAAAAGAGCCTTAAAAATTAGACTAGAGTTCACAAGCATTTACCAGGAAGAGGTTAATGCCTGTGCTTATTCTAGCAAGAGGCTAGAATTCGTCTGTAGCTAATCCACGCTACTCAAAAACAAGTCAGTCAAGCTCTTAAGAGGAAATTTATACTTAAAATACCCCGATTTCCTGAGAGATCAGAAATACTGAAGACGGAAATGACTTCATACCACAAAAGCCAGGCAGCCTGACTGTAAAGACAAACACTGACATTTTGGCCACTGTTTTGAAAATTCTCACTTTGTATCCTAATAACCCTTTGAAGTTTCTGAGCAGCTACTTCTCCTGGTTGCTTAATGTCCTGTCCACATAGCTCTAAGCCCTTAAAAAGGGCTTTGGATGATCTCAGGCTGCTCCTTTTTATAAAATCTGAAATTAAGGAGCTTTCAAAGCACAGATGAATTAAAATACCTTATTTTAAGCAAACAAGCTCTGCCCCAAATACAGGCCAGGGCTGCAGCAGCTGTCCACACGAGGTTTCTGCTCCTTTTCTGGGGAATATTCACAGGCTAGACTTGTTTCCAATGGAGACAGTAAACATAGGAGGGAAAGCAGCAGCTTCCAGAGGATTTTGCTCGTGATGCAGAAACATAACAGAAGCCTCCCGGCAAGCACGGCGGTGCTCGTCGGGCAAGCTTCGCTACGCTGCCAGGCTTTGCTGTCCTGGGCGTTTTGCACATAGGATGGCCTCAGCTGCAAGCAGCAGCAGCGGTCTCACAAGCAGAGGGTTTGCTGGTTACCGCTGGAGCCCGATGGCTTTCAGTAATGATTGCTCCTTACAAAACTGTTACCATGCAGATTCCTTCAGCGTTGACCCAACGGAGCGGTGTAAACCGGTGGCAGAAAATGCTCGTTAAACAAAAGAGAAGCAAAAGAGTGCCGAGCGTTGCCTGCCAGCGCTGGTGTGTTTGCTTTCTCAAAGCACTTTAAATCAGCAAAAGAAAACGTTAGGAGAGAAGAAGCTTTGAAAGCGCAAGCAATAGCAGGTTTAACCTTCCCAACAGTCCGAACATATCCAGCAATATCGGGGGTATATTGGGTCTCGACATGGACGTGGAGGGAACCAGTTCTGGACTGAGGAGAGCTGCTTTGGCCAGGTCCCAGCTGCCAGGAGCGCCGCGTCACGGGGAGCCAGCCTGCCCTAGCCGAGGCACCACTGTCCCGCTGGATGGTGTGCGGTCCCCGGCTTGGCCCCATGCGGACAGGCAGGCCGCCCTGCAGAAGAATCCGGTTCGAGGGGATAAGATTTGGAGAGAGGTGGTGGAGGCTGAAGAGCGAGGGAGAAAAAGCTGGTAAGTAACTCGTTGCAATTCACACCTCTTCTGCTCACCTTGGCGGGGTACCTCTGCCCCTTCATAGTCTTAGGGCCTGATCCAAAGCCTGCACTAGCAGGAGAAAGTCGTCTTTGCTTGGGCTTTGGGTGAGCCCCTAACACCTTTCTTGCTAATGTTATATTGTCTCTGTTTTCCTTTCCTTTCCTGTTGTATCTGTTTTCCCATGCTGATATAGTATCTCCTGGCACACTGGGCTTAGGTTAAAATAGAGATGCGAAGAACTGAATGCTCAGTATCTTTTAGCTTCATAGAGATATCCACAATGAGGATATTAACATGCCCATCTTTATAATTTACTGCAGGCACACTGATACTATTGCCTCCTCTCTCGTTCTTGGAAATGGCTGAGATGGAAGTTGAACAGAGTGTTCTGCCAAAAAATTATTTTCTATTTCCAGTCTGTAAATCTCGTGAGCATGCCCGACAAGGGATACGCAGACAGGAAAATCCCATTGTTACTAGTGTATCAACAGACTGAACTGCATACGTACAAGCTAAGCCTTGACTGTGTATACAGCAGTGAGCTGAAGGAACTAAAAATTAAGATCTTCTCTCCCTTTGTCACATGTCTCCCTTTGTCACTTTTTCACAACTTGGAAAAGCGTTCATTTTCATATTTTAGTACCCAACACGAACATGCCTATTAGGCAGCAGAAAGGCCTGTGTGTCCGCGCCCGGCTGCTGGGGCTCGTAGTCCTGGATATTAATGCAAACCCACTTCCATGGATAATTAAGCTAACACATGTATGATTTCTCAATAATTAGCACCATGTAGTAACATCCTAGTCTGATATACTCATTTAGTGCCTGGCACAGTGAGCTAAACCAATTTGGGACTGCTAAGTGTGCGGTCATACCGACATGTAATCATAAACACAACAATAATAAATTAGCTTTTATTTACGCTTAGGGCATATCCGCACCGGACAAGAGAGCGCAGCACAAATCCAGTGGCCACTGGGTCCATGTGGTACAATGCAGTGCTGCATACACCGACTACCTCAGCTTTCAACTTTAGCATCAAGTCTATAAGCTTAGCTGCGGCACTGCATAAACACAGCTAACCACCCCAGAGCATCCACCCTAGGTGTCCCCTGATCTTTGGTGCAAATATGGATTTAGGTAATTCTTTTCTCTATTGGCCTTCACCTGCTGAGTTGCAAAACACTCCTAACTTAGTATGGGTTCAATACGGGAATAAAGAAAACCCTGGGCTTCCCCACAGAAAGGACAGGTGTCAGTACCAAGAGTTTGCAGGTGTAAAACGGAGGCGGGAATATGAAACGGAACATTTAAATAGACTTTCAAACGTGAGCAACATTAGTTACTGTATTTAATGACAGAAAATATAAAGTTGCATTTTTTACTTCTATTCCAAGGCACCAAAACTGGAGTTTCCTAAAGGACTACGACCAAACGGTAAGTTCTAAACAAACGTCTAACTGTAATCCAGGCTTTTCTGGTTTCTATCAGTTTGAAATAGGCTAATATTTTCAATTGATGTGTACTTAGGCATAATTTGTCAAATGCTTTAGGATAAAATCTTTAGGAAAATGAAAGAGAACAGAAGTGACATTCATCTGCTACCTACACCACAGAGTACACGTGCGTGTGTTCAATCTGTTTCAATAATTAGCAATTCCACAGAAAGACAAGTGCTAGAAGAATCAGCTTCCTAGGAAGAATTTTATACGATAATGTCATCATGCTAAAATCCAAGCCACTTGCTAAAAATGAAGCAAACAAAAACCTTTCACATCATGATCATTCTAGAGCAGCTAAATTCTGTCTCAGCTGCCATTTTATGCAATATAGATGAAGATGATTCCTTTGTCTGTGTTACGCTATTCTCATGGAAGACCATGGGGGAAAAAAGCATCTTACTGTATTTATGCATCACTGTCGTGTACATTCAGTAAGCAACGTATTCAATTTTTACGGACATCTAAAATCTCAATCTCTCATCAAAAGCAATAGAGCTGATATTACTCATAATCTCAATAACTTGTATTTTTTAACATGCGGTCAATGTAATTTGAAAACTTTAGCATTAACAGTATTTGTTTTACACAGGGTAAGAAAAAGGAGCAGAAGCCGCTGCCAGACTATGTGCCTTTGTTTTCAGACAAAGTTCCCAACTCCACCAACCAGGTTATTGGCAGTCGAATGAATACTGAACTTGGTAAGACTCTGGTAAACATGGATTACTTCTTCAGCAGCAGAGGACGAAAGAAGAAGCTTGAGGATGAGCTCCTGCCTTCGTAGTGCTTAAGTAAAAATACCAGTAACAGCAGGTTCTAGCTAAAAGATTTCTTTCAGACTCCACAGCACTGAAGTCAGTAGGTAAAAAAATTCCTCCATTTTTCACAGGGAGACTAATACTAGTATCGAGCACGGCTTTTTTTCAAGAGCAAAGACGGATGTTTGCCAACAATGCCATATGAGACAATCCTCTTCATATTTGGTGCGATTGGGCCATATACACAGTTAGGACTCTCATTCATCTTCCACTGCCAACTCTACAATAACTATGCCACTAACATCAGAAGGAACAAGATAACAGCCAAACCGCAATTTCTTCCTGAAATTTTAATCTACTGAAAGAAGCAATTAATGGAGACCAGCTCAGATGAGTAACAGCATACAGAACGTACTTCGAATTCCCAAAGTCTGTGCAATAAAACACAGCAGGTTGTTGCATTTCATGTAGCTAGCCAAGGATTCATCACAGCATCTGTCATCTGCATGCTTAAGCTTGCTCTAAAGAGTAAAAGTTAAGGTACATAAGACATGTTCTGTGCTTTTTTACTGCTCCCTGCTGAGGGAGGGAGACCACTTTTTTTTTCGCATTATTTTTCATTTTCTTGTTTTTAAATTTTCTATTTCTGCCCTACACTCTGAAATTCCCTTCCTCCTACTCATCTTTTATGATTTAGCTGATGGAAACGCAATGATAAGGAAGCAAGCTTTTACATTTTAACAGGTTCATCGTCCCTAAAATCTGTGGTTGCCCAAGGAAACCATCATCATGCTAAATGAGACACGATACGTAGAGCCTGTTCACTACTGCATCTTCATGCCACAGATGCTGATTTTATTTCTGACCTGAT